CTCGACCCGCATATACGAGGCGGCGACATCTGCGACAGTTGCTTGCTTGATCGTGATCGCCCAAAGTGACCCACCCACCCACCCACCCACCCACCCACCCACCCACCCACCCACCCACATGATTTGGTGCAGACCTTCCTGAAGAGCTCTCCCCGGTTCTATGGCTTCATTGTTTGGACCAGCATCATCGGCGGGTGCTCCTTGGGAAGCGGTGGGGGCTGCTGCGTTCATGCCTAGTTGTAGAGCTTTGCTCAGGTACTGCTGGAGCCGAATGTGGGATCACGTGTGGGACCATATCAACCAGGTCTGACTAGCATTTTCGGGTGCAGCCTTGTCGCGAGCTATGCTTGACAACTCGTGATGCACGCGACATGCTGGCAAGGGAAAGCTGTACCGCCACAATCCCTACGTGTACCCGATTCCAGAAGATGACGAGTGAGCCGTCAGGCTTGGTGACTGGTCGTGGAAACTGACCCTCGAAGTCTTGAATCCTTCGTGAAAGCTTCTTTTCCATGCAGGCTCGGTGATCTGAGCAGGAATGAGTCTGAGAGGCAGTGGACGTCGCTAGCTTAAGTGGCCTGAGGGCGAACTTCGAAGATTTCTCTAGAAGCCTTAGGCGTGCTATCCGCAAGAGGCTCGTTGGATTCCGCTTGAGCGGGATGCTGGTTACAAGCCTTTCTCCGCACCTTGGGCCTTGGATGGGCCTAGCCGCCAGCATGTTCAGGCTAGGTCAAAGTCTACTCGGCAGAGTCCGGTTGCTCAGGCTGATGCTAGTGTACGAACCAAGACGATACGACCAAGACTAAGTCTATACCACGCTGTTTCAACACTGCCTTCCCCCTTGCAGATTGCTCCCGAAGGCGGGCACCCAACTTTCTGAAGCTGAAAAAGCTGCGCACGAAAGCTGCCTCGCACTCCTCAGTATCTCGGCTCGCCCTCTGTGAGCCTCTTCAAAACAGCAGCATTTTGGCTCGGGTGGGGTCTCAGCAGGGGCCCATGGCCGAGGTCAGAGCCCGAGACTGACACCCTACGTGCAGACCTGTCGAAAGTAAGTGGTCTGGGTGTCAGGCTGCTTGGGTCACGGCATCTTAGCCGTTTTGAAAATGTGCGCGGCTCACAACTCTTGACTTCTGGCTGGGTCAGATGCTGGCCCCAACCGAAATTGTGCACAAACAAAGGTCTGGCAAGCTGAAGGGCATTTACGACGCGTTAGACCATGGAAACTACAAAAACGTCATGTCCCTGGTTGCCGTTCAGCCGATGTTTCCAACTGGGAGAAGGCGCCTGAAAGCTGCGTCAAGCTGACAGCGTCAGGCATGTAAACTTTGTGCCACCTTTTTGCAGAAGCAGCCATCACATTCGCCGCAGCCTCATGGCATTATGGGACACTCGCTGGGTTCCCCAGCGTGCAGCGGTGAGTTCCTCTTCTCCCGAGGCTCGTTCGAGCGCTTCACGCCATTGCGCTGGAGCGCTGCGGTCGGAAAGACGAGGCGGCCGGCTATGGCGGATCGCAGCGAGGGCGGCACCTCTGAGTGCGGGTCCACGCTACAGGCGGTGCAGCTCTGCCAAGATACTGTCAACGCGGGAGCCGACCTCAGCGCTGCAAAGCGAGAGATGACATGAGAATCGGATGATTATCATATGAGACCACTCAAAAAGAGGTGCTGCGGCCTCCAGCGGAGCTGCGTTCATGGACGAGACCTGTCTCAACACGCTGCAGGCAAGAGGCGACGCCTGTGCCTGCCCGCTGGGGCGACCCAACCGCTGGCAGGTGGCTTTCAGACGCTGCAGGAACTGGGAGGCTGTCGCTGAGATGTACGAGGTACTGCAGCTGCACACCACGGCCTTTTTCTGCTCGTGATCTCAAAGGGTTCGAGAGTGAGCTTTGGGCTCTCCGTGCCTTCTAGATCCTACCCGGGTGTAGTATAGTTGCGGGCAGGGCAAATTTGTGGGACGAGATAGGGGAAGTGTGTGGGCAGCATGACGAAACACAAAAGCGCAATCCCAAACTAAGCCAGAGGAGCAGTGGCTAGCAATGGCAGCAATGGCTCATGTTCCATGTCGCTGGTGCAAGGCTGCCTACAACAGGGAGCCGGACATGGAAGAGCCTACTCCCCGGTCAGACTTCTCTCCCGGGAACACAAGAGGTCTCGGCTGAGCAAGCTGTGTTCTTGAAGTAGGCTGGCAAAGGTGTATGCCGTGAGACATCTCGAAGGGGTACTGTAGCTTCAGGCTTCATCAGCAGGGAACATCTGGACGGCGTTGTCGAACAAGTCTTTCTGAGGTACGGGTCGTTTCTCTTCTACACGTACAACCGCTTGCACCAGTTTGCAAAGGCGCAGCAGGCACTTGTGGAAATGTGGGGCAGACATTCATCAGACATGCGCACCGCTGTGGATCCAATTCGGAGAAGGTGGCTACCAAGATGTACGCCAAGTTCAAGAAGGTGCAGCACCTTCTTTGGGCCATGTTCTGAGCCTGCTCGGTTCATGTCCGGCCTGGTGCCCTCGCTCCATTTGCCCAGGTCATTTCCAGCATTCTTCTGCAAGTTCGGGTGCGCCTGCCATGGCTTCATGTCATGGGATCGTCGGCTTCGAAGACCTCTCGGCTTGGTGAACACATGACGCATAGTACTCATTGGTAGTCGCCTCTTCTGGCAGTTTGGTGGGCCACAAAAGATGTTGGACCTGGCGGCGATGATGCTGCAGAAGGCGCGTCGAACGGCGCATTATTTGCAAAGAACCCTTGGCTTTGGCAGCAACTGGTGAGATCAAGGAAGCCATTTGTGAGTAGGGGGCCCGGCAGACAGAACTGGATTGCTGGGGACGCCCAACTCGCTGTAAATATGATGAGATGGAAAGTTGGCGTTGCCGAACTTGGCCTCCTTCTTCGCCTTGCCCTTCCCTTTGCCTTTGCCCTTGCCTTTGCTCTGCCCCGAGTGGGGCATCAAAGCGGAGCTTTCGTCCTGCGTTCGGCGTCTTTTGCCGTCTTTTTGGCTGCTGTCCGCTAGGGCCTTGGCCGCCTCCTGAAGTGCAGCCACTCCCTCCGGAAGGGATGGCAACAGAGCTCCCCAAAGGTCGGCTTCCTGCTTCAGCGGATCCTGAGGCACGCGCATCCGAGGAACAGTGACCAGTAAGCAAACAGGACATGAGAAGCAGCTGCATAAGTGCTATGAATTGTGCTCCTGCCACAGTGCAGTGCGGATTGGGCTTGGTCAGGCCCACCCAAGAGACAGACGTGCAGGATTTCCAAACATCCTCCAGTTCTAATCGGTGGGCTTTCAAGGATCCTTCAGCCCCACCGAAGGACGCACCAAAGGGCCTCCTCCTGCCCCAGGGGCCGAGCATTCCCCCGATTTTGGGGTTTTGTGCTAAGGATACGGCTATGACAGGGGCAATGTGGTTTGGGGATGTTTGGGGCTGCCAGGCACCCCTCGGTCTCGATGGCCTGCAAGACATGCCCTTCAATAGAGGCCAGGGAGAGGGTCCTTGCTGTGTTCTGGAAGCAGCTCTGATACTCTTTCCGGGAGGAGTCCTTTACCTTTTCTTCCTGCACCTCAGCACGCTTCAGCTGCAAAAGAAGCAGGCTATGTGAGATAAACTGGTTGTTGGGTTGCAGCTGAGCAGAGGGCTGTCCCATTCGCAAAGGTAATTTTGGCACTTTTCAGGGGGGTCCCTGGTGAAGCTTTGACCTGTGCCGCAGGCGGAGGCCATCGAGATGCTGGAGGCCGCTGAAAATGGGACGTGTCTCTGAATTGACATGGCCTGCTGGCTGCTACCAGTTGAGAGGGAATGCCAGCTGCAGCTACCAGCAGTTGCTAGCAGCAAGGTTTTTCTGGGATTACTTGTTCAGGTTTCTTAAGCTGCATGTTTGCTGTCTGTTTCTCACAACCCCGGTTGCTCATCCTGCTTGCCTTCACCCGTCCTTGCCTGTGTCTTCCGCCACACAGGCCGGCAAGCCGTTGCTGAAGCTGCCTTCGGACCTCTCGGCTCTTCGCGTGTCGAGCTCAGACTGCCTTGTACACGGAGAGGTCTCCCAAGCATCGCTCGAGCCCCGTGCCACAGGTCCAACTTCTCTGGGAGGCGCTGCAAAGTGCAGCAGTATCTCGTTTTCAGAACTGCTGAATTCTGCTTCGAGGCTGGCCGGTGTCAAGAGGCTGTTCTCGAGGCGGGAGAATTTCGCAGGAAGCCTCCAAGACCAAGAGCAGCTTTGGCTCTGAGGCTCGAGCTCAGGTGATTGCCAGTCCTGGCAGCTGGGCTTCTGCCCAGGAGCTCCAATGAAACTCTGGGGGGGGGGCTTTGCAATTCCTTTTCCAGAGCTTACCTGTGCGGCTTCGTGTACTCATGCCTTGGCGGACCAAGCCGGGTAAGGACTATGCTCGGCTTGTCTTCGACTTGCCTTCACCAGATGGCTTTGATGTTGGGCACTCGCGGAACAGTCAAGACTTGAAGCCTTTCCTGCAGAGCTTCAGGCTTCGAAGGGGCACACTGCTCGATTTTCCGGGATGCTTCCCTCCGTCGAGATGCTGAGTTGTCGGCTATCGGAGCCCGCTTCATGTGCAGCGGCACCAAAGTCGGCCTTCGGCCCGAGGTTGTCTCGTTTGAAGAGTTGGAGTCCAATTGGACACAGGATGAGGCCAGTGCCTCCACCTGACAGCAACAGACCAGTTGCGGCAGCTGAGGCACGGAATGCTCTTTTACTGTTCCGACACCTGCAACAAGTGGAGGAGTGGGTTCAGTGACACCAACAGAAGGTGAATGTTCCTGTCTGGAGGAGCAGGGACAGAGCACGGGTGGTGGGAGTGGCGTCAATCGTGTGGCCTTCCTTGGTGAGCTCGAGCTTCGAAGGCTCACGGGGCAGCAAGGAGCCGGGAATTTAAGGCTTGCAGTTTTCTAAGTGCCATGACGTTCAAGAGAGGTGTGCACTGGCGCGGACACAGCTTGACTCAGTTGCGGTCGACGCTGCAGATGTCCAGGAGCCGGATGATAACAGTGAGAATGCCGAAGCCTTTAAGTATCCTTGCCAATCCTTGCAGTCACAGCAAAGGCTCTTGCCTGCACCTTTTTCGGCTTTCTCTTTCTCATCCACGTCTTTTCAAGCTGCGATTGAGGAGATGGTGCGGGTCATGAGCACCTTCGTGCAGCATTTTGCTGGAAGGCCTGGGCTTTGAATGTCTGAAAGGGCCCGGAACAGTGCTCTTGACAGGGCCCACTGCTTCTTCGACATGAAGCCGCACCTCGCGTGTCTCTCCGCGAGAATCTGAGGGAGGATCACACATCGTCTTCGTGGTTTGGACTGTTTTCTCTATCCGTTGAAGTCGGCTCAGAGGCTGCGGACGCATCGCCGCTCCTGTCTGCAGCGGCAGCTGGCGAGGCAGTCGAAGAGCGCGAGCTGGTCGCTCTGTCTCATCGACTTGGCTGTGCAGGATCGAGAGGCAGCAGTGCTGGAGGCTAGGTTGCGGAGATCCTTCCGAAGAACGGAGGGGATGGACGCCGCGGGAACCTCGAGGGCGAGGGACGCTGAAGTGCTCGTGAGAAGCAGTTCCAGTTCTGGATCTGCTCCAGGCCGCTGCCGAGCAGTCGGTGGCGGAGGTGCTTGCCAGCGACCCCCCCTTTGGAGCACCCGGGGGCTGTGCCTCGTGGAAGGAAGCCGAAGCCTGCCGCTTAGTGGAGACTTGGATTCGATTCGGAGGCCAGTTTGAGGAGTGTTTTAGGGCCAGTCAGTCTCTTCGCAACCTCTCTGAACAGGTGGCTCGGGTGCCGAGAACAAGAGCCCTGAAGCCCTGCTGCAGCTGGCAGCATCGGCCTTGGTGGGCCAAGCCAGGGGAAGGTGCGCAATTTCCTGAAAGCGGGGGCAGCCAGAGTTATCTGTTGTCCGAGGTGGTGGCTTTAATTGAGGCAGATAGGTGGTCGCCCAACAAGGCTGAAGAGTGCACTGATCTGGCACGCGGCAACAGCTTTGGACTCCGACGTGCAGGCAGCGGATCGGCAGCATCTTCTTGATGCCGTGGTGCCAGCGGCTTTGTCATTTTGGCCTAGTGACAACTGCAGTCATCAAGAGGTTAGCGACTGGTTAAAAGTCTCCAGCTTCTCACACAGACGCACTTGTTCCTTTGTCCGAGGCTTGCGCAGTGGGGGCTAACAGAGCAGAAGCATGCTTTCGGTTTCAAGGCGCTTTCATGTATGCAGCCTGCGTGTACGAGCTTATTGACACGCTGCTCCTGCTCTGAAGGTGCTTCTGCTGTTGCTGTACAATGCGCTGGGCTTGCCGATGTTGATGTTCAAAGTGCCATTGGACCCAGTTGTAGCAGAGAAGCACAGGGTCGTGTTGGATGGAACAGCCAGAGTAAGGCTCTCGTGATGAGCAATGAGCATGCTCACTCTTCCTCGCGCTCTTGACACAAGTTTTGCCAACCCAGGTTCAGCACAATGGCCATCAAGAACATCCAGGTCAGTGGTCTGCAGTCGAACTCGCCGTGTTTTGCCAATCTGGCCCCGATTCAGCCACGCAACTGTTGTCCTTCTCGGGCTCAAATAGCCACAGATCACATGCTACAAGGCAAGGTGCTAAATGAGAAATCCGGGGCCGATCGAAAGACATTCTCATTCAGAAAGTGGCTTTGGCCTATCCGTACCATGTAGAGTCTTGGCATGGCGCTCCGCCCATGTCCGGTTGGGTGCATTCCAGAGGTTGGAGGGGAAGGGCAGGGTCTCGAAGCATTTTCTGCGTTTGTAGGCGCGCACTTTGTACATGCATCTCAAACTGAGTTTTGAGGCAACCAACGCTTTCTTACGGCAAGCCTCATTTTGAGTCGAGGACGACGGCGATGAAGCTCCGGGTTTGGCATCATCTTTGCCAAAGGCAACACAAACGCCTGAAACCCAGGCTTCATTGGGTCTATAGAGGCATTGAAGTCAACGTCAGATTCGCATTGCGCGTTCTTGTGCATGGCTGAGGCAGGCAAGAAGACAGCCACTGCATAGTTCGCATGCCCCGTCGTATGCTCAGAGAATGCCACGCGCACACACCCAGCTGAGACCCGGTTGGGCACAAGCACCTTCAGCAGCATCACAGAGCATCACTGTGTCAAAGGCCTGCGGCTGAAGAGGTTGACTACGAAGAGCTTTTCGAAATTCTTCGAACAGGCCGAGCTAAGTACTGTGAAAGTCGTTACCAGGCCTTTGTTTTGCCAGCTGTCAAGGGGGAATAAAAAAGAAGAAGGCGTTACTTTTAGCATTTAAGAGGGGTTTAGGTTACCCAACTTTAGTAGGAGGGGATGGTTGGATCGCATCGATCCAGCGTGCAAAAGGGGATTCCGCTAAAACGCAATG